CTACCTCTCTCGATTTTTTTTTTTTTTTTTTTTTTTCACCTTGTAATTTTAGAGAACTTTTTTTAAAAAAAATTTAAAGACTATTTTAGACTTCGTACTTCATATGATGTTTATAATCTACTGCGTTGTATCAAGTACAAACAACGTAATGTGCGGAGTCGAACAAATAGCATATGTGAGTTATAATATGGGAATAAGTATGAGACAGTTGGCCAACCTTTTAAATTTTAGATCTGAAGTTCAAATTCAAATCTAATCTAGCTCATTCTTAAAAATCTCTTGAGAAACTATCATTACCATCATTCATTATTGTTTACATGTTCCATCAATTATAATTGGAGGAATTTACAATTTTGTAGGGAGTGAATGATTTGATATAAAAGGTATGTTAGATTACACTATTTTACTCATCTAAAAAGAGATTTGAGGAGTGTTAATCAAATACGAGTACATTCTAAACGGTCTTCTTCTAGATTACACACTTCTGCACTTATATGTTATTCTTAGGAGATAATTGCAGTATTTTTATCCGTAGGATATCAATAATATAATATTTTACAGAACTCAAATACTAGGAATATACTATTTGAACATCCATGATTGACAAAGAATAAAAGTTTACAAGTCTTCTCCTTGTCATTTTGTTGTACATATTAATTATAAAAATTAATAAATAAATAAACCCTCTTCTGCATTAAAATAATCATGCTAAGAAGTAAGAACCCCCATTAATTGTACACCCAAAAATGTTTCCAAAAAAAAAATAAAAATTTATACACCCAAAATCTAAGTGCAAATATATGTGCAACACATAAATTTTCAGGTGTGAAAAAAAATGGGTAAGGGCCCCACTTGGATGAAGAAGTGTAGGATGTCCAATCATTCTCACTAAGGATAGATAAGAGTCTAGCAATATCACATCCACAACCCTCCAAAATCAAGCAAAACCAACTATTCAGTTGTCCACAAAATTGCCACACTTCATCACATACTACCCTTCACTTAACTAAATATCCTTGTTACTTCCTTTTTTCCTACACAAACATTAGCCTCATTATCACACACACATCTTTACTCCCATAACATTCACTAGTCTAGTACCACCATGGCTACCGCTGCCCCGGCTACCGCCTCGTACATCTTCGGAACCCGCATTACCGGCCCAAACCCCGGCCGTGGAAAGTTCCAAGCCTTGTTTGGGCTCGGCAAGAAGGCCGCCCCACAAAAGAAAGCAGCCCCAAAGAAGCCCATAATAGAGGAGGACCGGCCCGTGTGGTTCCCGGGTGCTGAACCACCCGAATGGCTAGACGGAACCATGGTCGGGGACCGTGGATTCGATCCATTTGGGCTCGCCAAGCCCGCGGAATACTTGCAATTTGACTATGATGGGCTGGATCAGAACCTTGCTAAGAATTTAGCTGGTGATATTATAGGAACTAGGATTGAAAATGCTGACATTCAGCCCACACCATTTCAGCCTTACACTGAAGTGTTTGGGATCCAAAGATTTAGGGAGTGTGAAGTCATCCATGGTAGGTGGGCCATGTTAGCTACTCTTGGTGCTCTTTCTGTTGAGGCTCTTACTGGTGTTTCTTGGCAAGATGCTGGAAAGGTAAAACCTACAACATTATGTTATACATGAATAAATGATTTGAGATTGATAATATATAGTTTATGGATCAACAAATAGAGTATTGTATATTTGTATATAACTATATAACTATATAAGTACATAAATAACTCTGCATTGCTTCATAATCAATAGCAAGGTTATCACAGTTTAGAATCATCTGTTTGTGCTATACTGGTATATTAAGTAAGCTTGTCAGAATTCAGAAAGTCCATTATAAATTTCCTGTGTCAATTTGATTATAGAGTCTCCATTTGAATTCAGAAAGTCCATTATAAATTTTCTGTGTCAATTTGATTATGGACTCCATTTGAGCTGGATCTATTGGAAATTCGAGTAATCCCAAGTATTGTTTACATATGTCATGAATTGTTGTACTACTTTATATTCCCTCCGTCCACAAATAATAGTCATACATGATTTATTATTTATGTGACACGATGTGGACTTAGTCTTAGGGAGTACTTATTCTACAAAGAATTGAAATATATTATGTTCTTCTAAACTACACAACACACTTATCTACCAAAACTCTTGATAAGTTCACAATGCTGAAGTTGTACAATTTAGAAATTATAACAACATGAAAAACTATAAGTAAATAATATCTAAACATATACTAATAATAAAAATAAGCAACTTTGTGCAGGTAGAGTTGATTGAAGGAGCATCCTACCTAGGCCAAAAACTGCCATTCTCCCTAACAACATTGATTTGGATAGAAGTGCTATTAGTTGGATACATTGAGTTCCAGAGGAATGCAGAGCTTGACCCAGAGAAGCGTCTATACCCCGGCGGCCAGTACTTTGACCCCCTTGGCTTAGCCGCGGACCCTGAGAAGAAGGAGAGACTTCAGCTAGCAGAGATCAAGCACTCTCGCCTCGCTATGGTTGCCTTCCTTGGCTTTGCCATCCAAGCTGCTGCCACTGGAAAAGGCCCTCTTAGCAATGTTGCTGAATTCTTAAGTGACCCTTCTAACAACATCTTCAAAACCTTTTCATCTTAAACTATTGTTTACTCCTATTATTAAGAGTTACAATATTGTATACCAAGTACTGAGTATGTATTATTGATATATTTTCCTATATTCCTAATATTCTCGTCTTTTTTTTTTAGTCCTCGCTCTCTTTTTTGTTCTACCCCAACATAAATGAGGATGTTATTAGCTGTGCTTGTGCATTTCAGTTGTAATATGTACATTTGTTACACTTTTAAAGAACAGTGTAATGTACTTGTATTATCATATTATATATCCTCTGCATTCAGATCAATTTTAATGAACAAATAACAGCATGTACATGCTGTAGGCACGTAAAATTTATACATGTGCCACATCGAATTTGATACGGGTCAAAAGTCAAATTATTGACTTGGTGTTATTTGACTATTTATTTAAAATTAATTATTTTGGGTGAAAAAATTAAATTAGACCATTTTAATTGTTTTAAGGAAATTGTTCATTTAATAGTTTTTTTTTTTATTGGTCGAGGAGAGGGGCAAAGCCCCTAGAAAAGCAAAGAAAACACTAGCAAACTAAAAGAAAAACAGCAGAAGAAAAACACACAACCGAAAAAGAAGACTAAAACAAGTATATAAGCCGTCATAGCCAGAACCATCCTTGCAATAGTCACTCCCCCAAGCCCTCCAATAAAATAGCACGAAGATCCAAGGGACCGCCTCAAAAAGCTTGAATCGAGACTCGAGCTCCACTCCCGCGTTAGCAAGCCAATCCGCAGCTCGGTTGGCCTCACGATAACAATGTTGTATAGTTACCTGACAACCCTCTCTACGAATCATATACTCGAATGATGTGATAAAAAGGAGAAAGAGGAATAGAAGGCTTCGTTAATATCTTGACAACTATCTCGGAATCCAAAGTTAATTGGACCTGCTTATGGGCAGCATTCCACGCCACAGCTCAGCCTTCGTAGAAGAGCACAGCCCACACCTCAAATAGCTCACCCCTATGCCCTCTTATCAGACCACCACAACCAACTGCCCCTGGGTTGCCTCGAGACGCTCCATCAGTGTTAAGTCTCACCCACTCCATTCTACGAGCCAACCACCTGACATAAATCTTCTCTCTGCCTCTCTTTCTTTTACCCAAAACATAAGGTCTTCCTGCTTCATAGCTCTATTAATAAAGTCAACTCTAGCCATAATAAAACTTACAGGGTCAAACGGTATATACCAAAGCATTTGTTGTTGATTTTATGGTAAAGCCCCCCGAGGCCTCACCGTTCCAAAAGATTTGATCAACAGCCTCTTCATCTTCCTGTAACTCAAAAGACTCGATCAATCAAAGGCTTTCGAGTAGCCCAAGGGTGGTGCCAAATTCCCAACCGCCTTGCTAACACCCTTCTTCAACATATCTAAATTCGAAGCATCATTCTTCCTCTTAAACTTGTCAATATCTCACCTCCCTTCACAATACTTTTTTTTAAGCACTCTCGACCATAGCGCTTCCGGCTCCGCAAGTAACCATTGATACAATCCACCAAAAATTGATACTCCTTTTTTGAAGTTCTACCATTAGTAGTAGGCACTCCCAAGTATGTACCAAGGTCATCAGTTTCTTCAATTCCTAAATTCCCACAAATACTCTGCCTTTCACTCATATCTGTGATCTTGGTGAAAAAGACTGGAGATTTGGAGCAGTTAACCTTACTGCCAGACTTTTCAAAAAACTGATCCAATGATTTGGGCCTGATCAGAAGAAGCCTTCGCAAACAATATCAGATCATCAGCGAATGCGAGATTAGAAATCTCCGGCCCAGCCCTACAAGCTTTAACTGGCTTCCACGCTCGCAGTTGATTATGCGCAAGTCGCTCCATGCATATCACATATAAATAAGGAGATAGCAAGGGGATCTCCTTGCCGAATTCCCCTAGTGGGCTTGAAACTTTCAGTTGGCTCACCATTCCACAAAATTTGTACAATTCATAATCAAGTCAATGATATGGTTGGAATTAGTTAAATGAACTAATTCAATTAATAACTCATAGTTATGTAATAATTGGAAATTTGTTAGATATTTGTTGCAAGTTGTTAGTAAGTGGGAAGTAGTGGAGTAGTTAGTTATTTCCTTTAAGTGGAATTATAACGTGTAACCCACTACAGTAAATATGAATAGCTGTACTGTAGCTGGTAATCAATTTTTTTACAGAATTAATTCATTTCTTCTTCTCTCTTCAGTTCCCCTCTGTTTCTCTATCTCTCTTTCTCTCTCTTCTTTTCCCAATTACCCATATTTCCGCCATTGGAGAAGTTTCAAGCTACCTCCATTATCATTGGTATCAGAGCACTCTTATTGTACCTCTACACTGAGCGATTCTGGCGCCTCCTCCTGTGACTCGACGAGTTGCTGCAATGGAAGACCAAATCAAGAATCTGGAAAAACGAATTGATGATCAAATTTCAAGATTCGATCAGAAAATTGATGAGATGTTGAAGATGATGCAGGCGATGCAAGCTGAGAAGGTTTCAACCCCTTCGAGCTCCGAACCCTCTTCTCCAACATACTCTAATGGCAGTTTGAGCAGGTCCAATTCCACCAGGACCTTAGGTATGAACCCTAAGCTTGAATTTCCTAAGTTTAATGGTGTCAATCCTCGGATTTGGGTTAAAAAATGTTGCAAATACTTCAATCTTTGCAAAATTGCTGATGATCAAAAGGTGGATTTGGCCTCATTGAATATGACTGATAAGGCTGAACATTGGGTGATGAATTATGTGTCTATTAGAAGGTCAGTTGCTGTTGATTGGAATGACTTTGTTGTGGATTTGTATGCACGATTTAGGGATAATTCTGCTTTAGATGTTGTTGAGCAGTTCAATAGATTGCAACAATTAGGGTCTATTGAGGACTATATTGATGAATTTGAGAAACTTAGATCTGTAATGCTGATGAATAATCATATACTACCTGATGCTTATATTTTGGAGAGTTTTGTGGGAGGGCTTAAACCAGCTGTGAAACCCTTTGTTAAGGCGTTTAAACCAGCGACTATTGCCCAGGCAGTGGATTTTGCTAGGCTATAGGAGGAATCGCTGAGTTCCATTCATACATACAACCGTTCTAAGCCATTCTCTTATACATCAAAAACACAAACAACAAACACAAATAGCCCAAACACATTACCCCCATTGTTACCTACCCCTTCTTCTAAGCCTACCCTACCAGCTTTGACACAATTTCCACACAAGAACAAAAACTATAAACATATACCAGCTGATGTTAGACAGGAGAAGATTGCTAAAGGACTGTGTTACTACTGTGACCAGCCTTATACAAGAGAACATCAGTGCCAATTTAAGAAACCTCAGTTGTTTACAGTTGAAATTCCTGGATCTATTGATTCTGACAGTGATGAGGATTTGGGATCTTTTCCTAATTCCATTGATGAACCTCAAATCTCTATGCATGCTCTTGCTGGAAATCAGTCTTTTCAAACTATGAGAGTGATAGGCAGAATTCAGGGAAAGGATTTACACATTCTTATTGATTCTGGAAGTACACACAACTTTGTGGATGCTTCTGTAGCTTCTAAGTTGGGTTGTTCTTTGGAGCAGATTCCTTTCCAGGCTATCTCTGTAGCAGATGGGAATCATATTCCTTGTCAGCAAGCTTGCAAGGGGTTTGCTTGGAGTATGCATGGCCATAGTTTTGAAGCAGATGTGTTGGTCATTCCCTTAGGGAGTTGTGATATGGTGTTGGGAATACAATGGTTAAGACTGTTGGGTTCTATTCATTGGGATTTTCAGAAGCTTAGAATGGAGTTTACTTTTCAGGGAAAACAAATTGTTCTTAAAGGTATACCACCTAAAAAGTTGTCTGTGGTAGAAGGAGATCCTAGAGCCTCAATCATGGATTCTTCAATCCAGTTATGTTTGTTGCATGTTCAAGATTCTAATTGCTTTGTTGGGCAGATGGAACAGGACACTAATACAGTTTTGAGTAATTCTGAATTTTTGGCCATCAAACAGCAGTATGCTAAGGTTTTTGAGGAACCTTCAGCTTTACCACCTGTCAGGGGTGTATTTGATCACTCTATACCTTTGATACCAGGCAGCACACCTGTTAATATCAGACCCTACAGGTATCCCCTTAAACAAAGTGATATAATTGAACAATTGGTGCAGGAGATGCTAGATAGGGGCATCATCCAAAACAGTTCAAGTCCTTTTGCTTCCCCTGTTGTGTTAGGGGGTAAGAAAGATGGAACTTGGAGGCTATGTGTATATTATAGGGAATTGAATAACAGAACTGTGAAAAATAAGTTTCCTATCCCTGTAATTGATGAATTGATAGATGAACTTGCTGGGGCTTCTGTGTTTACTAAGCTTGATCTTAGGGCAGGTTACCATCAAATGAGAGTAAGCTCAGCTGATGTGTTCAACACAGCCTTTAAGACCTACACTGGCCATTATGAGTTTTTAGTTATGCCTTTTGGCTTAACTAATGCTCCAGCTTCTTTTCAAGGTTAGATGAATCATGTCTTTAGGCCTTTACTTAGGAAGTGTGTTTTGGTGTTTTTTGATGACATCTTGGTCTATAGCAAGTCCTTAGAAGATCATTGGAAGCATTTAGCTGAGGTATTTGAATTGATGCAGCAGAATAATATGTTTGCTAAAGAGAGCAAATGTATATTTGCTTCGTCAAGAGTTGAGTATTTGGGACATTATATTACTCAGAATGGTGTTGAGACAGATCCCAAGAAAGTAGCAGCAGTGAGCAGTTGGCCTGTTCCTTCAAATGTCAAAGAATTGAGAAGTTTTCAAGGTCTAACAGGCTATTATAGGAAATTTGTGAAGGGATATGCTGTTATTAGCAAGCCTTTGACTGATCAGCTTAAAAAGTCTGGTTTTTCTTGGAATGAGCATGCTCAGGAAGCTTTTGAGAAGCTTAAATCTGCTCTAGTTTCAGCCCCTGTGTTGGCCATTCCTAATTTTGACTTGCAGTTTGTTTTGGAGACTGATGCTTTTAAGTATGGTATTGGTGCTGTTCTGATGCAGGAAGGTCATCCATTAGCCTATATTAGTAGGTCACTGGGAACAAAGTGGCAAAAACTATCAGTTTATGACAAAGAGTTGCTAGCTATTGTGTTTGCAGTTCAAAAATGGGAGCAGTATTTGGTTGGTGCACATTTCATCATAAAAACAGACCAAAAGAGTTTGAAATGGTTACTTCAACAGAAGATCTCCACACCCTTTCAACAATTTTGGCTTTCAAAATTAATGGGGTTTGATTATGAAATTCAATATAAGTGTGGAAAGGAGAATGTAGCTGCAGATGCATTGTCAAGGGTTCAAGGCTCAGAGATCTTGTTTATGGCTGTTTCTCAGGTTGACTCTAATTTGGGTTCTATGATTACTGCCAGTTATAACTTGGATGACAATTATACTGCTATGATTCAACAGTTACAGAACCAGGTGGGAATTACTGATTTTAAATGGGAAGGCAATTTGCTTAAAAGGAAGGGTAGAATTGTTGTGGGACCTGATCTTCAGCTTAGAAACAAAATTTTGGCATGGCATCATGACTCTCCTGATAGTGGACATGGTGGCAGGGAATTGACCTTAAAAAGGGTAAAGAAATTGCTTTACTGGAAGGGTCTTACAAAGGATGTTAATGCTTTTGTGAGGAAGTGTGTAATTTGTCAGGCTACTAAATATGACACAGCTGCATACCCTGGTCATCTTTAGCCTCTACCTGTTCCAGAAGAAGTTTGGATTGATATTTCTATGGATTTCATTGCTGGGCTCCCTAAATCTGCTGGAAAAGATGTTATTTTTGTTGTAGTGGATATATTCAGCAAATATGCCCATTTTATGGCATTGTCTCATCCATTTACAGCAATTCAAGTGACACAGTGCTATTTAGATAGTGTGTTCAAGCTCCATGGGTGGCCTAGATCAATTGTGAGTGATAGAGACTCAATTTTTGTTAGTCAGTTTTGGAGGGGTTTGTTTTCTTTGTATGGAACAGACTTGAAGTTATCCACAGCTTACCATCCTCAAACTGATGGACAAACTGAGGTTGTTAATAGGTGCTTGGAAGCCTATTTGAGGTGTATGACCGGAGATGAGCCTCAGGAATGGCATAAATGGCTACCCTTAGCTGAATGGTGGTATAACACACATTTCCATTCTGCTTTACAACTAACTCCTTATGAGGTGGTCTATAATCAGCCTCCACCTTTACATCTTCCTTATCTTGCTGGTGAAGTCAAGAATGATGAACTTGACAGGAGTTTACAGAGAAGAGAAAGGATGATTTCTGAGCTTAGATTTCACCTGAAAAAGGCTCAGCAGATAATGAAGTCTCAGGCAGATAAACACAGATCAAAAAGAGTTTTTAAAGTTGGCGATTGGGTTTGGCTCAAATTACAGGCTTATAGGCAGTTCACTGTTCAACGGAGATGTAATTACAAACTTTCACATCAGTTTTATGGTCCTTTTCAAGTGGCTGCAGTTGTAGGGAAGGTTGCTTATAAATTGAAGTTGCCTTCTGAAGCAAAGATACATGATACATTCCATGTGTCTCAGCTTAAGAGTTTCAAGGGGCAGTTGCCTTTGGCTGCTCACATTCCTTCTGTATTTCAAGGCCAAATTGTGGGATCAGAAGATATTCGTCCTGCTGCTATTTTGGATAGGAAGATTGTCAGATTTCAGAATAGAGCACAGGTTCAGTATTTGGTGCATTGGGAGGGATTTCCTGATTATGAAGCTACTTGGGAGTCTGCTGAGTATTTGGAGCGACAATTTCCTGATTTTATTCCAGCTTCGACTTGAGGTCAAGTCTGTTAAAAGGGGAAGGCTATGATATGGTTGGAATTAGTTAAATGAACTAATTCAATTAATAACTCATAGTTATGTAATAATTGGAAATTTGTTAGATATTTGTTGCAAGTTGTTAGTAAGTGGGAAGTAGTGGAGTAGTTAGTTATTTCCTTTAAGTGGAATTATAACGTGTAACCCACTACAATAAATATGAATAGCTGTACTGTAGCTGGTAATCAATTTTTTTACAGAATTAATTCATTTCTTCTTCTCTCTTCAGTTCCCCTCTGTTTCTCTATCTCTCTTTCTCTCTCTTCTTTTCCCAATTACCCATATTTCCGCCATTGGAGAAGTTTCAAGCTACCTCCATTATCAGTCAACCATGCCTTGCGGCAACCTAAGCTCCATCAGAGGATGTCTTATAAAACTCGATCGTACGCCTTCTCAAAGTCGATCTTGATTGCCATGTAACCCACTTTCCCCTGTCTCTTTCTCATCGTATGAAGCATCTCTTGGACGATGATAATGTTGTCTGTAATTTGCCTCCTAGGTACGAAACTACACTGAGTCGGGGATATAACTGTTGGGAGCATATTCTTTAGGCGATTGACCACTACTTTCGTGACTAACTTGTAGACAATATTGCAGAGTCCTATGGGCCGAAACTGAGGATTCGACTCTTTAGGGATACGAACCAGAAAAGCCTTCATGTTAAAATTTGTATTTACACATGTACATATGTTCATACTCCTAAATATCAATAACCCTATTTTGTATTGACGTACTCTTTTATTGATTTGTCACATGTCTATTAGTTAAAGCCTAGGATTGATTTATATACTCTATCACTAGGGTGGATGAAATTCGAACCCGTGACTTTTGTTTCACATTGATTAATACCATGTTAAAGGATAAATTCAACTAAAAACTTAAAATGATGGTTGAAGCCTAAGATTTAGCTGTATTAAGTCAAATCTAGCTCATCCCTCATCTACATTGATTTTTTTTTTTTTTTTTTAATAACATCTACATTGAATTTGGCTATAATAATTTAAATTACCAAAAATCTTACACTTGAATTCACCCAAAATAGAAGAATATCAACAATTATCATACATAGATCATTTACAATTACTGTCATGTCAAAAAAAAAAAAAAAAAAAAAAAAAAAAAAAAAAAAAACATTTACAATTACTGATAATGAAAACATAATCAATTAAAATCTTTTTGGATACTTTGGATAGCCCATAATTAATGAGATCGAGCTATCCAATAAAATCTTATCCATCATCTTACATTGAATTGGCTAAAATAATTTAAATTACCAAAATATATAATTTCAACTAAATCATACAAAAAAATAAAAGGTAAATATCAACATATATCATTTACAATTAATGCAAAATGGAAACAAAATCAATAAAATCTTTATGAATAATTTAGATAATATATGCCAGCCTAGCTTGCATTAATACATTGTTTTAATTTAATCACGTACAATGTACACTTTTTCTGTTCCTATTTAACAAATTAAAGTTAAATGAATGAAATTTTTTTTTAAGATATTAACCTTGTTACTGTTCATCTTTACATCTCAAAAAAAAACTTAAAAAAAATAATATAAAAAAACAAACATATGCGTGGACGGCAGGATTCGAACCTGCGCGGGCAAAGCCCACATGATTTCTAGTCATGCCCGATAACCACTCCGGCACGTCCACAGCCTTTACACTAGAGCTGTTTATGATTATCTAAATAATACGCAGCACTGTCATTTTATTTATTTGATTAATTTTTACCTTGTTGCCTTAAAATGTACGAAAATTTGCTTTTTAGTATTACATTAGAAATTTTGATTAGCCTAAAATTTTTTGACCTTTGTATCACACAATATCTAACCCTATTTTTTTATTTGGTTTGTCACAATTATATTTCTCAATTCTTCATTTAAATATTGCACTTTCATTTTGCATAAATTTTAATAAAATTGCACCTATATATATATTCTGCTAAAATTGTTTGTCCAAAAGATATAGGTAAGCTTTTTAAGATTGTGGGAGTATAACAGAGCACTTTTAGTACACACATGGCGAATTAACTCTAGTCAAATCACCTAATCTACATATAGCCATATAGGTGTCGTTTGGTTGACAAATATATATATATATATATATATATATATATATATATATATATATATATATATATATATATATATATATATATATATATATATATATATATATATATATATATATATATATATATATATATATATATATATATATATATATATATATATATATATATATATATATCAAGGCTAAAATGAGAACTGGGAACTAATCTAGGCCCTTAGATCATGTTAATCAAATGGTCCACACGCTTCCCGTATCATTAATGGCATTTTCGTAATATTTAAACTTTAAAAAGTAGTTTCCAGTTTCATATCTTAAAAGTAAATGAAAAGTTAGTAAAAGTAAATGAAATCAGTCATAAAGTAAATAAAATTGCCTTAAAAGTTTAAATACTAGAAAAAATTAAAAAGATGTGAAATTACAAAAATGCCATTAATGAATGCGAGTGAAATGTGAGCCGTCAGATTGAGCGCGATTAAAGGCTGAGATTGGTTCCTAGTTCTCATTATTCACCTTGGTTCTCACATGATCTCAACTTTCTCTCTCTCTCTCTGTAACACCCACAAATCTCCCTCTACGGAATATGTAGAAAATACGTATAAATACCGTAGAGATAGACTGGGGCGTATTACCGCCGCGTGATAACGCAAGGCTTATACTTTAAAATACTTTTGCAGCGGAAATTCTTTATTCTTTATTAATAAAATAAGAATAAACTTATTCATAATTTGTGAAACAAAAACGACTCCAACTTTTCCTAAGCTAGGTGAAATTCTCGTGGACTCCCGTATGCATCAATCAACTTCCACCTGAAATATTCACCTGCTTACCATAAATGGTAAACAGGGCAAAGCCAAAACAAAAGCATGTATTAGCAAATTATGCTAAGTAGATTATGTGTAAGATGAGTAAAACATAATTTAAATCATTTAAGTTTAATTCATAAGAATTCCAATGCCATACTCATGTAAGAGCTTTTCCAATTTAATTCTTTCAAGGCAAGTTTAAAACTCAATCGATTACGTTCCAAAACCAATTCCTCACTAAGTGTGCACACCCCCCAAGTGGTTTACTTTATGAACAAAGGCCAATCTTGAGGAAAGACTAGGTCATGCAAAGTCCATAGTCTTCTCTAATCCATTCCCTAAGTGGGATTCATAACCATATCGATTGATTTGCTTAAAAACACCTTTTAAAATTCATCATTCTTGAATATCGAGAAACCTGTAAATCATTTTTAATCCAATCATTTTTAATACTTTCAATCACGATTCAAAGTCTCCTTTATTGTAAATCAAAATCATCGATTTCAATTCATCATACAACATAATTTTATAAAACATAATTGCATACGGAACATAATATCATAACATACGGAGCATAAAGTATAATTTCATACGGAACGTAATAAATTATAATTTCATACGGAACATAATAAATCATAATTTCATACGGAACATAAAATATAGTTTCATACGAAACGTAATAAGATATAATTTCATACGGAACATAATAACTTATAATTTCATATGGAACATAATAAATTATAGTTTCATAGTCAACTTTCGAAGGTATCAAACCACATAACGTACCTTAATTCCAAATATCAATCAACACTTCGCACTCTCAAAGTTCAATCACGAATACACCTTGCAATTAATATAACCATACGGTTATCACAACATCTTTAGACATAAACCCAAATCTAATGTGCATGTACTACAAAAATCTTTTAAAAAATAATACTTTAATATAAAATTATAACTGTGAAATAGGTAATTATATTTTAGAAAACTAACCATGAAGAAAATAAAGGAATAGGATTAAAGGAAATTGAATTTGCGTTGGAAAGGATAGGCAGAACTTGCAGAGGTCATAACTCCTTTGATATAACTCCGAATTCGGATATTATTGAACCTAAACTCAAGTATTTTTCAAGAGGAATAATTTTTTATGAAATAGAAAAATCCAAAAACTGACCAGAAGTGCCCGAAAATTGGCTCCAAAGATATACGGGCAGATTTTCTTTTAAAAAAGAAGAAAAGAAAAATAGGAAAAGTTTGAGGGAAAAGAAGAGTAAAAGAAAAGAAGGGAATTGAGTTTTTGGTGTGAAGAATATGAGAGGTATGAGGGGGTATTTATAGGTGTTTAGGTGATGAGTTTATAGCAATTTAGGGTAGTATAATTTATGAAAATTTAAAGAATAGAAATTAGGGTTTTAAATGTATGGAAGGATATTAGATTTTATTTGATCATGAAATTTTGTTTGGTAGGTTTTGAGCTTGGAGTGCAAGTATAGAATAGGATCAAATAATTTTTAGATTTAAGAATAGAAATAAGGAAATTTAAAGGATTTTATTTTTAATAAAATAAATTAAAAATCCTTTAGAAAATTCATGAGTGGCCGAAAATATTGAGCTAAATATTGTTCAATATTTTCGGTCCTCTTATGTTAGTTTAGGGATTTTGTAAAATAATTTATTTGCCTAAAATTAATAATCCAATAAAATTTATTTTGTGAAAATTAATACTTGAAAGAATAAAATCAGATTTTTATTAAATAATTGGGGTGGCCGAAAATTTGACTTATAATAATTAATTAAATCAGATTTTTATTATATAAAATCTGAAAATTAATTCTTAAAAATATATTTCATGAAAATAATTAATTTGGAAAGATATTAAAACAATTTAGATTTTTATTCTATGAAAAACCGAAAATACAATTTAATTAATCTACCGAATTAATATAATTTCGGTTTAGCTATTTAATTTTGAGAAATCAAAAATACTATTTATAACATAAGTATAAAATAGTTTCATTTATTGGATTATCCAATTTAATTATTTTTGTATAATGATGATTTAGGCGCCAAAATTTAAATATCATTTTGGCTCCAAAACTAAAATACTCTTTAGGAAAATAATTAATTTAGATAATACGTCAAAAATACGAGACTAAAATACTCTTTAATTTAGAAAATACCTTTAAAAAATACGGGGTATTACAAAAATACCTTTCAAAAATACGGGGTATTACACACACACACACACACACTCTCTCTCTCTCTCTCTCTCTATATATATATATATATATATATATAAGTTAAATTCCTAAAAATTGAAATTCTTTTGTATTGTTTGGTTAACAAATTCATTGAAAATAGAAATTCTACTTCTCACAAGATGGAGGAACTTAAATACTCAGGGAGACCTAGGTAAGTGGAACCTCCCATGGGAATTCCCACTTTCCATGATTAACGAAACACTATAGTTACATTTCCTAGGAATTTCAATTATATGGGAATATAAATTTTTAAGGAATTTGCAATTTCTACATTCTGTCCAACGAACCCATAGTTTAATCCATATTTGAACCATACTAAAAAAAAAAAAAAAAAGAATTTAGTAATCTAATTTTGCATTGCTTTAAAATTAACTAATCCAACTTAATCAGAAAGTAAATAAGAGTTAAAATAATTGAATCTTAAAATAATGTTTCATATGGAACTTAGTTTGAATGACTTACACCTCTAAGCATAACTATATGATTAATTGATTATTAAGACTCTTAAAAAATGATACTCTTTTAGGTTAATACTATTCACAAACCCTTATTTGTAACTAAAATTTCAATAAAAAAAATAAAACTAAAATTAACTTTAATAAATCAAGTCATACGACATTTACAATAAGATTTTCAATCTAACAATGGTGTATCAAATTGAATCAAATAGAATTTTTTTGCAACTAAACTAGGATTATTGTGTTGTATAAGAGACTTAACCATTTTTTGTACTTTCCAAATAAAGTAATTAAACTAGCCGAATTTATGAAGAAATTGCCAATGTAGACCTAAAAATCGAAACAAGAGAAGAAACGCCATAAAGTAAGTAACTTGTAAAATGTTGTTGAGCCTCATCACTCATTTATTAATTAACCTTGGATTGTGAGGAACATCTACCCAAAACATACACAAACAGAAAATGACTGGAAAACAGTAGTGGCTTTAGAGTGATTACTGGATTAGCCGATGTTTTATAACAATTTTCAAAACCTCGTTTTCCTCGACCCAATTGAATTCAACACATCAGAGAGAGAGAGAAAATCAGAAAGTAGATATGTAAATGAATTGGGTAATTCATGTTGTTGATGATGATAGTTTTCATTTGAAAATGGCCCAGAAATCACCATAATTCTAAGGTTTAAAGCTGATTTATTTATTTATTTCATTCAGGTACATTTCTGTCTCCTTCATTTTTAATTTTTGGGCATGAAAAGATTGAAGCTTTGATTTTTATTGGATTTCTTTAATTTTCAAAAACCCATGATTTTAAATTATTGCTTTTATTGGTCCTTTGCTTAAATTATTAAGTTTTTAGTCTGATTTTTGTTGCAACAAACCCATTTAAGATTATTTTGTTCTCACTTAATTGCTACTACGTAGTATGTATTGCTTGGAATTACTGGTAAATTTGATGTGATTAGAGTTAACCGCTAGTTTACCATGTATTAATTGATTGTTTATACTATGAATTTAGGGTTGTAATTGTTTGATAATATGAAATTGATCTTATTTTGGGTCATTTGTGAATGTTGATGTCATTGGCCAGAGTCATAAATGGCCCCAATTGATCCCACCACTGAACCATCCAAAGAAGCATACAATCATGGGATGGCACTCGATGTTGATAATAAGAGAGTCCAATGTTGTTACTGTGGCAAAATTGTTCCGGGGTTTAACCGCCTTCAGCATCATTTGGGAGGGATAAGGGGGAATATAACCGAGTGTCCGGATGTTCCGGTTGAGGTGAAGGACTTTTTTAGGCATAGCTTGGTGTCTGTGAAAGTAGATCACTTAGTGAAGGAGATTGGTGAGTTAGACCACCCTAGTCCTCCTCTGAAGAGGACTCGTACCTCGAATGTGAAAGCGAATGGGGTGAAGTCACAACAGGCTGTAAGCCCTCAGAATGGTGCCACCATTGCTAGAAGTAGTTTGAGTAAACCAACTTGTTACTACAAAAGAAGGTTGACTTCTCCAAATGGTAATGCTGGCAAAAACGGGCTAGATTTGGACTCTATTAAGGGTAAACGAAGCATTGGTAGGTTTTTCCTAGAAAACGGGATTGACTTCTGTGCTGTCTCGTCTCCTAGTTTTAATAGCATGATGGGAAATTTTCTACAAAGTTGTGAGAGTAAGCGGTTTATCCCTAGCATTGCTGAGCTCCGGGGTTGGATTTTTGATGATGAGTTACACGAGATAGAAAATTATGTAAAGAAGGTCCGGCTTACTTGGCCTCTTACTGGGTGTAGCATTCTGCTTGATGGGTGGACTGATCATTTGGGTAGGAGCCTGATCAATGTTGTAGTTGATTGTCCAGAGGGGCCTATTTACCTTCGATCAGAGGATGTTTCACCCTCAACAAAGGGTGCTAATGCATTGCAAGTGTTGCTTGAAGCTGTTCTGGAGGAAGTGGGCATTCAAAATGTTGTTCAGATTGTTGCTCACACTTCCTCGGACTGTTTAGAGGAAATTAGTAAGCAGCTGATAGAAAAGCATAGGTCGCTTTTTTGGACAGTTAGTGCAACGCATTGCTTGTCACTTATCTTAGACAAGATTACGATGATTGATTCAATAAAGCTGACACTGGATAATGCGAAAACCATTACTAAATTCATTTATAGCCGTGCTGCAGTACTGATGCTGTTGAGGAAATATGTTAGTAGTCATGATCTAGTTAGACCCTCTAGCATTAAATCTGCTACGCCTTTTTTGACATTAGAGAATATTTTGTCTGAAAAGAGTAATTTGGAGCTCATGTTCACTTCCTCTGAGTGGTTGCGCTCGTCTTGGGCATCAAGTGTTGAAGGTCAATTGGTTACTACTTTGATCAATGATAGCTCCTTCTGGGCGGGGGTTAACTTAGCTGTGAAAGCATCCATTCCATTAGTGAGAGCTATATCCTTGATTAATGAGGATGGTACACCCAATATGGGAGTCATATATGAAACGATGGATCAAGTTAAAGAGACAATCTGTGAGGAGTTTGGAAATAAGATATCTAAGTATACCCCAATATGGAAAATAATTGATGAAATATGGAACACAATTCTGCATAGTCCCCTTCATGCTGCTGGATACTTCCTTAACCCAAGGCTCCATTATACTGAAGACTTTTTCTCTGATACTGAAGTTGCAGGTGGCCTTCTTATCACCATCGTTCGGATGGCTGCTAATCAGTCTACCCAGGATTTGATATCTCGGCAGCTTCATGAGTATGCAGACTGTGAAGGTGATTTCAAAGTCGGAACTGATAATAACAGTAAAGAGAGATTCTCTCCAGGTTTGTAAGTAAGGCTTTGCTTGTTTTGACTTAATTTAGTTAGATAACTTCAAGCTCCATGGAAGAAAGAGTCTTTAGTTGACTAATGACTTTTCATTTTCGCCGAACTTTAAGTTCACTAATTTCTATTACCAAGCTTATGGTGGGGGTGGACTGATGGAAATATGGGGTGTGACTTTGGTAACATTGAATTTTTGCGCTACATATACATTGGAAGTTAGTTTATGGACAAAATAGACAGCAATGAACTACATATTGTCAGTTAGTTATGTCTGTTTAAATTAAAAAGTACAATGGACTGAGTCAAATGTCGCACTATGCTATACGTTTTCTTTCATACTTACTTTCTATTGGCTGGGAATCACAGCCTAATGAAGTGACTTTTACTAAGGGTTTAATGAAAAATGGCCTCATAGAGTCTTAGCTATTGTATGGCTTAGGCTGCAGACATCGAAACCCTTACCATGTCTCAGGCAGAGGGTCAGAAAGTTAGAAACATTGTAATATTGATGTAGTTGTATAGTAATAACTCATACTTCCCATAAGTTTTACTTTCCTGAATTTACTACCTATTGAAGTTGAACTGTAAAGATACCATTTTGGTCACTTGTTTTTTATTCTGCCATTCTATTCTAATTCAAGTAATTTTTAGCTTGTACGATACTTATAACAAATTTTGAACTGGCTGCAGCAACTTGGTGGATTCATTTTGGGCGCCACTGTCCTGATCTGCAAAAGCTTGCTGTCAGAATCCTTAGCCAGACCTGCAACGGGGCTGAAGTTTATGGTCTAAGAAGAGATATAGCTGAGAAACTGCTATCAAGCAAACGAGAGATCATGGAATACAACCGACTGCATAACCTGGCATACCTTCATTACAATCTCAAGTTAAAGCAATTCAAGATGAGGGCAAAATTTGACATTGTTAATGATGTAGTAGTTGACCCATCAGAGGACTGGATTGTAGATGAATCATATCAGGCTGGGGGAGATGGCTCTGAGAGAACATTTCATACAATCCTCGGCATAGGTTCTGGCAGCACAAGCCTGATAAATACTCTCAAGGAAGGAGGCTCTTCTGGTGTTCCGCCAAAGGCAGAACCAACATCTGAAGTCTAATTTATGAAGCCTCAGAAGATCGAAGACAAGAGGGAGCCTTTGTATTGGTGAAATGTGCTCTTGTACACTATTGTACACACACATACTGATGTACAAAATGGTTCTGGCTCTTAAGTTAGAAGATGAGTTTTGGCATATAATGTCTGTCCATTGTCTCCCTAAGTTTTATTTTCCGCCCTTTTTATAATAGAATCAGAAGACTAATTAGAGTGAAAAGCTGCTGTTGTAGAAAATTAGTTTCTTTAGTGTACTGTTCTGATTTGCTACCAGAAATTGCTGTTAGTAGTTATAGGACTGTAGACAGACTATATTAGGAACTCTGAGATAATCAAAGATTGTACAGTTTTATTTACCTGTATAATACTTGTATGAAATCTTTTTCTTTTTCTTTTTCAAACTTAAGCCATTTTTAACAAAAACTTATGCTTCTTCTGTTATTCTTTATCAAATTACACAAGGATTTAGGAATGTTTTGGCTCAATTAATATTTGCCCTTATTCTTTATCGATCAAATTAAAAATGTTGTTCCTCAATTTAGAAATTTAGGGCTCAAATGAATTTGCCCTTTTGCAATCCCAATAGACAATGTCGCAAAAATAAATAAAAAATAAAAAAATCTTCCCATTCTGAAAATCTCTCAGCACAATAATTAAATACTGAAAAAAACCTAGATTTGCAAATAATTCTAAAATTTTGAAAATTTTAAACTACACACTGAGCTAATCAAACAAAACATACATGATTATATATGTTAATTCTTATACTACAGTATATATTAAACGAGAGATTATTTTATTCAATTTGCATTAAAATATATAAAGATTATCAATGTGAAAAATGCAGCTACAATGTTGTTCGCAAAAATGCATTAAGTATATAAAGATAAAATCGTTAATTTATTTATCATGCAAAATGTCATGTGATAAACAAAAATTGTTTATCTCAGTAATAACCTAGGCATCCTCTTTGGGAGGAGTTTGGTGTTTTTTTGGCTGAAATTGGGATATTTTAGAATTGTATATACTTCGTATAATATACTCAATTGGTCTTACATGCATCCTTATACAGCTAGAATGGCTGCAACACCGGCCTATTAGAGAAGCCCAATTGTATACGCAACCCAAACAACAACGCAGTCCACCAACTCCACCCACACAAATTTTCTTGTGTTCATAATTAAATACCTTATGTACAAATGTTCATTCCGTAGGAGGAATTTGAAAAGAAATTGAAGGATTCTTCAAATCCTTCTATCTTGAGTCAAGATGAAGAAATTAAACAAAATACAATAACAATTGAAGCTAACCTAAAAAAACCTAATTACAAATCAAAAAAAATAAAACACTAACCTGCATTATATTGACGATCTCTTCATGGATAACAACTAATTCCATAATTCAGTCGAAAAAGTGAAACAAAAGTGAAAAAATTAAAAAAACAGAGGAGAGAGAAAATGAAGAACAAAGGAGAAAAAACAGAGGAGAAGAAAATTATGATGAAAATTTTGATCGAAACTATGATGAAAATTTGGATCGAAACTATTACAGGAAAGAAAAGTGAAGAGAGAATATTTGAAAAAAGAAAAGTGGAGAGGAATATTTGAAAAAAGAAAACAAAAAATCTAAAAAAGGAAAGCAGAAACGCGGGAAGAACGTTATAGCTGAGTTTAACGGGTTGTGTTTGGACTGCATTTCATGTAGTAGAAGCTAATTTTCATGCTGTTGCAGCTAAAATAGCTGCACAAGGATGCATGTAAGAATATGCGTAATATACAAAACCTCCGTTTTTATTTAGTTGACTCCTTTTTTTTAATCAAGCTTGCCAACGCACTATTTTAAAGATTAATATCTCTAATTCTCGACATTGTAAAATTATAAAAAGTGGATATTAATAAAATAACATTGAGACGATTCAATTCAAACAAGATCTCACTTGACTATGTTTTATCGTAGCTATAAATCACAAAAAGCTAGTCAAAGTGTAGTTTGTAAATAGTAAAAAAGTCAATGGTGTCAACTAAAAAAACGAAGGAAGTATAAAAAAAAAAAAAAAAAAAAAAAAGAAAAAAAAAAACCATTAAAACCCAGATTTGTTTTTCTCTAAAGAGTCATTCGACCCGAATCCGTCGGGTCCAAAATTTGAAGACTTATATTCATGAAAATAGATTTTGGATCCACAATTTCAGGTCGGGTCTAGGATCCGATCCATTGCTATCCCTAGTTCCGATAATTATGAACTTAATTACTCAGTAAAATCAAGTGATTAGAATGCTTAGCTGAAGGCCGATTCCAATCCGTGAGAGATATAATTTTTTTGTAAGACAGTGAAATTTAATTAGTCTCATAGTAGTCACAACTTATTCTTGAATGTGCCTATCAGGTCAAACCCAAAAGCGGGAAATCAAATCAATAAACGAATTGGGCAAAAGGCCCAAAGACGTTCATTAAGTAAAGTTTAGTTGGATCATAATGTAAAGTTTAGTTAGATCATAATGTTGGGCGTTGGTATTAGCCATGCGAAGTCCAACACGCATCGTCAATGATAGTTGAAAGATCATAGGACGTGATGAGGATAGCACGCGCTACAAGCGAGGGCCTAAGGCCTAACATTGCAATGCTGCACTAATGCAAGGCCTTAGAGGCCGACTCAGCCGAGGTACAACAAGCCAATGCAAGCCTTAGGCCTACTTGGCTGCCGCATCATCCGCAAGCCTACGATGATGGGTAGCAACCACGCTGACACGTGGCACAAGGCCCAACAAGGCAACAACAAGTGCGAGCGCACGGGGCTACGAAGCTCCGAGGCTTGCCAGCCTCACGTACAGCTTGGCTGGGACATGGGCACTACATGGATCCCTCGGTTTACATGCGTGAAGTAAGTTGTCCTGCATGGACAACTTTTTTAGTACTAGTAGGTTTAAATGTAGGTGTACTTTATAATAAAAACAACTCTTGTGAATTAGATCGACACACAACATTTAACATTAATTTGCAATCCTTCATTAAAGCAAGAACATAAATCTAAACGCTAAACCTTAGCTTAAGAAAATTGTCCGATGTTCTAAGCTAGCACACTCTAGGCAGATTTTATCGTCCGGGTGGACTTTAATTTGATAATGAGATTACACGTGCAATCCTTGGATCCAATCGTACTATGCTAACAAGCACAGTTCACTACACGAAAAGAGCAAATTGGCAACGGTTCAAACCCCCCCAAAAGCAACGGTTTTGAACCGTTGCGTATTTGAGGGTTGCCAAATCCCAAAATAATTGGCAACGGTTTGGTTGCCAAATCCCAAAATAATTGGCAACGGTTCAAAACCGTTGCCAACTCAAGCAATTGGCAACGGTTAACCGTTGCCAAATACAATGGCGCCCTTTTTTCTTGTTTTTAAAAATAATTGGCAACGGTTAACCGTTGCCAATTGCTTGAGTTGGCAACGGTTAACCGTTGCCAAATACAATGGCGCCCTTTTTTTTTAAAATATTGGCAACGGTTAACCGTTGCCATTAACCTGAATTTTTTTTTTTTTGGCTGCAATATTATTAATATTATAATATTAATATTAATAATAATAATTAATATTATTATAATATTAATATTAATAATTATTATTATTATTATTATAATATTAATATTAATATTAATATTAATAAAGATAATTATTAATATTATAATAGTTAAAACATGTCATAATCACTTAGTTATAAGTGACTAATGCTTGAGATTACAAGAAAAGAGCAAGTAAGTGGTTTTGGAACGCAATTTCAACCAAAATGGCTCAAGTAAGGCCATTTTGGCTACTAGGATGCCTATTTTCTATATTTCTTGTCTATTGACCTCATAACTAGTTAAAACATGTCATAATCACATAGTTATAGGTGACTAATGCTTGAGATTACAAGAAAAGAGCAAGTAAGTGGTCTTGGAACGCAATTTCAACCAAAATGGCATACCTCTTCAAGCTGACGTGTGTCTGTACAATGACTCGTCACTATGTCATACATGAATCTCATCACGTATAGGCCACAGTCAACTCCGTTTTCCTGTTGTGCGCACTAGTATGAGGAACAAAGCACATGAATCAAAATGCATAGCAAATAAGCAACATCTTAAGCATTGTAAAGTAAGAAAATCACAACATCATGGGTGAATTACCTTGGGTGCTTTCCATGTAGGACCTCGAGGAGATCGAGGATTCATCTTCTTCATGGTACTACAAAAAATCAAAGTAATAAGTTCAAATTTTACTAGTATAATCAATACATATGAGTTAAGATATGAAAATGAATAACAAGAAGTGAAACAAACTAGATACTTACTTTTGCAGTATGGACCTCACGAGGCGCTTTCTTACTTGAGGTAACCGAGCAGAATCAAAGTAGAAGATTGTGTTACTGGAAACACAAATCACAAGTAGGGTCCCATGATAACTACACACGAGACAAACAAATCAATAGTTAGCCTATTACAACAAATAAACTGGGAAAACAAATGAACTTGACTAGCATAATCAGACGTACTCCTCATAATATGGGACGAATATAAACTTGTCTCCCGCACTCACTGATTGCCTGATACCCCGTTCAGCATAGTACAACACGTCAGCAGAGTTGCCTAAGATTCTAGCACTGGACATCTTCTCAGGGCACAACCATCCAACTTGACAAGGAGATTCAAGCTCCCATATTGCTCCTGGAGTGCTCTGCATGCATGATAACAAAATGTTAATCGAAAACCAAACGACAAACACCACTAAACTGAATAACATAAATTGAGTACCAGTTGAATTACCTCATGGATATTTGAATGAGGGAAATGTTAAGCATTGCACCACTTAGAAATTCCTTCACATCTTCTTTGAATAGCCATGCCGTTGCATCATCATCGTAGTGGAACATTTCCTTAGGAAGTTGAATTTAGATGGGGCTGTCATTAGGCAACACGCAAACACGGTTGTGCAAATAAGCTAACTCCTGAGATAGCGATAGAAGCACCGTGTCTTCAACTAATGGAGTAGCTTGCGTAGCTGAACCTCGTGAAGGGCTCTTCATCGACGCTTTTCCACTTACCGATCCATATTCACTCCTCTGCTTTGGCCCCTCCACCCTCTTCTTTGGAGTTTGGCTTTTCCTCGATGGCTAATAAGACAAATCACACAAATGGTTAGAAAAGATTTCCATCCAACTCTTGGGAAGAAAAGATTAAAGCGTGAAATCTAAATCTTAATTACCTGGTTCATCAACCGTATACAAGCAGATGACCATTGCATAAAACTACCTTTTACTGCCCAGAGGGTAGTGAACTCATTCTCCTCCACGGGCACAGGTATTAAGATGTCCTCCAACCCGGGAACCACAGAATGGATCCCGACAGAATAATGCTCAGGCAGAAGAGGTCGAATATGGACCGTACCTTG